ATGCACATGTGTATGTAGGAGTATATTGCAAATTGGGCATGTAAAGCGAAGATTTTGAATGAATAAGCATACATGCATATGTGCATACATACATACATATGTAGTCATATATCACTAATTACCATTTACGTCGATATTTATGCATGTATGTATGTGTATAAGTGTGTATGTAAATATGTATGTATAATATAATATAAAATGTATGCACAAGTGTATAGCATTTTCTTGCCCGCAAATATTTTTCCATATCTTTTACTTCGTGTTGGCCAAACGAAAAAAAAAAAATATTTCTTTATATTATTGGAAAATATTTGGCACGCCAAACCTGTACATATTATTCATTGTACGTACATATATTTATTGTGTGTACGTTGTGTGTATTGTGTATATTTGTTTGCATAAAAATGTATGTATGTATGTATGTACGTACAAATGGACGTCGTCATCCATTCACCGCCTGTCTGGCATATTGTGGCAAATTAATTTTTCCTGCTAAGAATTTTCCGAGCAGCGTGTGTCTCTTCATTCGCCGTGTGTGTGTGTGTGTGTGTGTGTGTATATAAGTATGTGTTTGTATGTAGCTGTACATGTGGGAAATTAAGCCAACTGCCGCTTTAAAGTGTAATCAGTTTTGTCCAACACATTTTTGCATACCGTAAAGAAATAAACATATTTATTTACAGTTATATTTGTAGATACTTATATACATACATATGTATGTATGTATGCATGTATATAAATAATATAGCTTTATTGGCCAGCACTTTTCCACTACTCATCAGATATTCCCACATAAATATGCCTGTACAGACATAAGTACATACAAACATACATACGTGTACATATTTACTTGGTTTGTTTTGATTTTGTTGTTTCATTCAATTGTCGCCATATACAAATGTGTACGCATGTATGTATGTACGTATGTACATTTATTGTATATATTTACAAATTTATATATGGACCTTTGTGTATTCCTTCACATTATACATATGTATGTATGTAGTTGCTTGTATTTATGTATATACTCGTTAGTATAAATGTATTGTCAACACAAATAAATTAGAAGGAAGCAATGAAAAGTCACTTAGTACGTTCGTTTGGTCAGCGCGCGTATCTTTTGGATGAGTGTTGTGTCTTATTTTCTACTTTCAACACTCGAAGTGATTAAAATCTTGAAATAAATATTTATGCGAATTTTTTTTTCTCTTTTTTCTTACTTATCTACGCAAATTCGTGTGTTGATTGATTCATATCGGTAATTTTAGAAATATTTTTTTTTCTTTGTCGCTCTCTTGCATGGAAATCGGTGTGGTCGCGGTGGCGTCCCCTAAGTGCTGATAGAAAACGTACAAATTTAACTGAAGTATGTATGTATTTGTGTGATAAAAAAATTTGCAATAGCTAAACTGCATGTGCGTATGAGTGATTAAAAAGAAAAAAAAAAATTCGAAACTGATTTCAACTACAGTTATATCCTTAATGTTTCTATTAATGAAAATTCAACTGTCACTAACGGTGTTAATTTGTGAAACATTAACGAGAATTTGACGTAAATGCAATTTTTTTTTTTAAATTTTTTGCGACATCATCGACAATATGTAAATAGTATGTACATTGAACTGCGTTCGAAATAATTTCAGTGTCGGATAACCCGAGGATTTTACTTGATGGAAAAAATACTAAATACTTTATATTTATTAATGTCCAATATTCTTTCACATATGTACATACATACATATATGAAGCAATTAAAACTAAGAAAATAATGATAAATAAAAGAATACTTTAAATTACATATAAAAATAAAAGTATGTTTGGCGTGTAATAGGTCTCCGCACGACACTAACCAGCACTTTATATGCCCGCTAAAACCGAATTTAACCCCCTCCCTCTCTGGGGTAACCCATCGAAACAGTACGTTTAATGGACCTCCCTTTAGATGAACTCGGTGACTTAGACTAACTAACCTGTCCCTAAACAAGCGATATAACAACAACAGCCGTATATTGCTTTATTGCGAGAGAGATTTCCCAGTTCGTAATCTCTGGTCTTGGCGATATCAATTGGCCAACGATATCGTACGATTTGTTACCGTTGGACTTTTTGTGTGGAGCTACGCGAAAGACTGTGTTTAAACCTCTAGCTGTGTTAGCGCCCAATATGTGGCACAAAGTGGTCGAAAATTATCTCATATGGATCGAAGTTTGACAAAAATTCGCAAGGCGGTCACTTAAATGATGTATTATTTCGCACACATACATACAATGCTGAGCTTAATAATAAAAAAAGGAGTTTCACAAAAAAAAATTAATATATGTATATATATTGAATGAATTTTATTTATTTTAATTTTTAACCCTTACAAATATCCAAATATTGAATAATAATTTATAAGGAGATGTAAGCTTTTTGATCGAAATCGATAACTTAGGCTGAGTTCACAATAAACGACGTTCTTATGCTATGTTGACAACTTGAATGTCTGAATTATTTTTAAAAAGTTGTGTATTACAATTTTTTTTAATAATTAAAATTTTTTTTTTAATAACCAATTACTCATGTTATGTATGTATGTATTGCGTTGAAAATTCAATACTACTTTCATACTGCTTAGGGGAGAAAAAAACAAAAACAAAAAAATCGCAATTGCAATCTAAATGCTTATAATCCCACAATCCAGCACTTCAAATTCCATTTCTCCCTCTAATCTGCTCTTAAGTACTAAAACGTGTTGTCAAAATGCTGGCTTTCTTATCTTCAGCGCTGACTTTGTCTTAGCGTTCGTTAATTGATCAAGTGTCCTGTCCTGTCCTATTTGACATTTGATTTAAAATGTTTATTAAAATCTTCACACACACACATGCACACACATTCCTATGGTTGCATTTGTTTGTCTAGCATTTTTTATCAACCTAAATATAAAACACTTCTAATGTTTGTATATTATGTACATATAAAAGATTAGTTAATATGTAAAATAATTGTATGTACGTCATATAATTACATGCAATTGCCCTTAATAACTCGAGTCTTGTAAAATTTTTGTTTGCTGCTGAAGGAAAGTCATCCAAATATAAAAGACTTTTATATGACATACCATAATTATAGTGTCTGAAATAAGTTTCACATTCAGATATCATTCAGATATAATTTTTATAATTTTCTTATACTCAATTTTTTTTTTAGCAGTATACATAGTAGAATAAACAATAGCGTGACTGTCGATTCTTCTTTTTTGCTGTTTGGCGCTAATCGGAGACGCTAAGTCACGTCAACTGAACTGTCCTTCTCCAACTGATCTTTCCCACGAAATAGATATCGTTCTCTTCTTCTGCTTTCACTAGCGTGTGCTAACATTGAGAACTATCGAAATTATTGCGTTTTCATTTAGCCGGACGACTTGGAATAGCCACGGTCTTTTTATTCGCTGAACTATGACAATGTTCCCACATATCTTGTAGGTATTCGTCGGCGACGATATATAGAGAAGGATAAATATTCCTCAAAAACTTTCTCTACAAAAGTTCTAAAGTCGGCTAATCAAAGTGTTTACATCTTTAAAATAATGACTGCGTCAAAAGTGGGAGTTTGCAGAGTGTTTGCTTGATGCGAGACGATATTTCGACTTGTTCTCATTCATGCTCAGACCCATTCGCTTAGTTTTTTGTACAATTTTGTACAAATTTAGGGAATTTAGGACGCGGTTTTTAAGACCAAAGCTTAAAGGAAGATTAAAAGATTGTTTCTTCTCTATTTGGTTTATTTAAATCTATCAGATTTGAAGCCGTACTGATAAGATCCGGTCAGTTTGTTGCAGGAGCGACTTTAATCTTTCACACAATGCGCTCGTTAAGATTCTATATGCAGACGGTTGGTATTAGGTAGAGCAAGCACAGGTATCATCAGCTACCACCGCCTTTTTAGGCAAAAAATCCGATGTTCGAGCTTCGAAAGGTCTATTCATCATCAGGGATTGAGAGTTCGACAACGTCCGATTTTTTTTTTTTTTTAATATCGAAGGAGAAATCTTCTTTAAGATCCTAACACTATCGCCAGCACGAACGATTCATATGGCATGCGCGGTACACCTCATTCGCGATCACGTTCCGTCCATATAGTATTCTAATATGCTGAACTTGCCCTTATCTCCTTCAGATTTTACCGTTTTAAGTATAACTTTGCAGTGCAATCTTAGCCTTTTGGCTAATCCCTCTTTTGTGCTTATAATATATTAATGGCTCCGGTTTCGCTCCTTCGCAGCCGTTATCTTCTTTCTAGTGCAATTGGAACTTTCGAGGACAGCTCCTTTCCATTGAGCCACGCATGCTTGGATCGCAGCATATGAGGTTGTTCTGGGATACAAGCTCAAAGATTTGCTGTATTAATACAATTCTTTCCATGTTCCGAGTATCTCCGGGTTTTGTACTTTCACCGATATTCTGGCTAGATAAGTTTTATTTTCTGCTCTGAGATCCTCTCCTAGATCCCTACAAAAATATATTCCAGTTTTGAAACCTTGTGTAAATTGCCACCTCTTTCATTACAATTTTCGAGGGTTAACACAGTCTTTAGCTTTTCAAGCTCTTCGCGCCACTCCTTGTAGACAGGTTATCTACCAAGATAATCAAGTTTTCGGACGGAGGGTTTCTGAACGATATCTAATTTTGATATTTCATCTAATCATATGAAATGCGAAGCTCCTAAATATCGAAGACGAGTTTTGGACAAGGCCGTACAGAAGCAGAGGAGGTGTTGCAGCGTCTGACTCATGCCTGCTTACCTGCATTTTCTGCTTGTGTCATCGTTATCGATGCCCGTTCAACTCGTATGTGATGTCAGCAGGTTGTGGCTTGCCATTAAGCCAACGACTGCTCTGCAAAGCTTTTGAGACCACAAGATCTTGGCGAACCTACACCTTCCCCACTCATGTCTTGTTAATTATAGTATGATTTCTCTGCAATTTGTTCTATGTTTAACTAATTTCCGTATACTTACAGGCTTTATAAAAAATATGAGTGCACAATTGTTTCGAGGAAGATAAATGACAATGTCATCCCGTAGGAAGAGCACTGCTGCGATATTTCCTCAAAGAGCAGCAGTTTCTGTCACTTCAACTACAAATTAAATATAAAAATAAATCCTACAGTGTAGGAAAATAAAAAGTTTAAGTTATTCTTTATGATCATTACACCCATACACACACGCACACACACACATACATACACACACGCGCGCTTAAGAACAGGCGAAATATTGTTAGAAGATAAAATGTTGTGGAATAAAACGAAACGGAGCAATAACTAAACCAACAATAACAATAAGCTGACGAGAATCTCGTTCAGCTTACAACAACAAAAACAGCAATAACAACAACAGAAAAAAACTACAACCAACGGCCGTGAAGATGAGTCGTGAAGAGCCAAAATCGCGTACAAGCAAATCAAAAATAACTCATCCCACCATCAACACCACTAACATCCCCACCAATAATTCAAATACAACAACAGCTACCACAGCATCATCGATTAGTTATACCACCTGCAGCGATCCAGGAAGCACTGTAAGTTCCAGCACTAATACCGCAGCATTCCTATCGGCGAGCAGTTGCGCTGATGGCCATGGCGTTAAAATCTCCACCTCGACGCCAAATAAACGTTTTGATTGCGCCGCCAATACTAGCGGTGGCAGCGGTAGTGGTAGGTGTGGCGGAGCTGTCGGGGGTACTGCATCCAACGCATCCTTGCGTGATATGCTAAACGCCGCCTTTTCACCGGACGATAGTATTGCCGCACCAATTAGTCCACTTAACGCCGTATCGGCACAGGGTAGCTTCAACAAGAGCGCTTCCACTGCTAACAACTCAACCGGCAGTCCGGTGGCCAAACGGCACTTGAGCGCTTCGTCTATGACGCGCATGCGTCCACAATCGAGTTATTCGGCACGTGCGCTAGTTTTTGATGACTCGGATCAGGAGTTGGGCGCAAGTGGTGGTAGTGGCAGCGGCAACAGTGCAAGCAGTAGTCCACGTGTGAGTATCAACAAGCAGCAGCAGCAGGAGACAGGCGTTGGCGTTGGTGTTAGCGTTGTCAAATCATCGACGGCCATGGAGATGCTAAGTACATCGCCGAAATTGTCGGGTATTGAGCATAATACAAGCACACCTTCGTTGACCACATCGGCATCGTTATTGCGTAATTCGAATTTGACCAAATCCTCTTCAGGTGGACTCTCTGGTAGCACAGTTTCGTTAACGGGACGTAGTTATAATGCGTTATTGCGTAAGATCTCCTACCAACATGGCTACTCTTTGCGATCGTCGAGCAATGGTGAGTGCAACTTGATGCTTTTTTGGTTCCCACCTCTTATATATGCATATTTGTACTCATTTCGTTATCCTGTAGATACATCGAATCTGGTGCGCATGCGCAATTCCTCGCTAGGCAAATCGGCGCCTTGTCTCACCGGTAGCTATATGCGTAATAACAGTGGTGCCGGCGATTCTTCCCATTGTTTTAGTCCCGGTCCAAATCCGCTCTCACAGTCTCATTCTTCAGCTACTTGTAACATACAAACTCATACAACAATGCATCATTGCCACTCGTCACCGAGCACTGTGGGCGCCCATGGTAACGGTGTGGCTGGTACGTCCGCCGCTACTGCAAACCCCAGCGGTTTGAACATTTCACGCTCAAATAGTGGTGTTGGCTTGGGTATTGGCAAGCATCATTTGCATGGCGTAGTGATGCGTGGCAGTAGCGTTGGCGGCACATCTAGTGGAGTGGCACATCATCGCCTCAGTTTGGTTACGGCTGGCATAAATGCCTGTACGACTTCACCGCGTTCACATTCACCCTACTCGGCAAGTCCTGTGGACAGTCCACGTATAAATTCACCAATGCAATTTCCATTTGCGCCCATTAAGCGCATTGCATCGTGCCGTGGCGATGGTAGACGTTGGTCGGTAGCTTCATTGCCTTCCTCAGGTTATGGCACCACGCCGGGAAGTTCGAATCTGTCGGTATGTAGCGAAATATTTTTAGTATTTCTACTTTGAAAATGTATTAATAAATTCCGTTTTTCACCCTCAGTCACAGTGTTCCAGCCAAGAAGCACTCCATCAGCTACAACACATTCCACCCGGCGAAGAGGCTGCCGCACAAGATGTGAATGCGATCACATGTTGTGTAGAGCATTTACAAGCAGCCATAGCAGCGGCACCGCGCGCACACTGTCAGAAGCATTGTGCACTTTTAACCGGCGCATATACGCCAACAACGCCCACACCTGCAACAGCAATAGCTACAACGAGCAAAACGACAATGTCCGTCCCATACACAACAACGAACACGAATATGAGTTTCAATAGTGGCAGCAATAGCGCAAGCTTTCAAGAGCCAAATAGGAGCAATGCGACACTCACACAACCACATTTGGCACAAGTCGCGCGCCCACCTTGTCCAAATTGTTGTGCAGATAGCAATATTTTGTGTGCTGGCGGCAAAGTTTGTGGTGCTAGTGCTGCTGCAGCGTCTGGCACGCCATCGAACGCTGCCAAAATGCCAACAGGCGCGCATCCACCCTGCCCGCCCAACGCTGCTGGGAACGTCAGCAGCAGCGGTAGCGGCAACTGTAGTCATACGTGCGGTGGTTTAGCCGGTCGCATGTCGCCCTTTCACCGTCCACGTTCACGCTCGCTCTCAAGTCCATCACGTTCACCGATAGTGGACAATGAGATTGCCATGATGAACACGCTGTATAAGGAACGCTTTCCGAAGGCCACACAACAGATGGAGGAACGCTTAAAGCATTTCATAAATGAGAATAAGAGTGTGGCATGTAATAGTTTTCGTGATTCGCAGCCAATTGTGCGGTAAGTAAGAAAATATCGCCTAAAAAGTCTCAACCTAACCTCACTTTTTCCATAACAGCTTTGTTCATCATCAAGTGCTTGAAATGGCACGCGACTGTTTGCATAAGTCTGAGGCGAAACTAATAACTTCGCGTTATTTCTACGAAATGAGTGAGAATCTCGAGCGTTTGCTCTTGGAAACAAAAGACAAATCGCCAGAGGCAGCTGCCGAACTAACTGGTGTGATTAAAAAATTACTCCTGATCATATCGCGACCAGCACGTTTACTTGAATGCTTAGAATTCGATCCGGAGGAATTCTATCAGCTACTAGAGGCTGCTGAGGGTCAAGCTAAAGCCATACAGGGCATTAAGGCCGATATACCACAGTACATTATACATAAATTGGGTTTAAACCGTGATCCCATAGCTGAAATGCAGCAGGAAATGAAAGAGACTCAAGCTGTTTGTGAGGGCAACCTCTCGGGTGGCGATGCAAATGCTCCATCAACAGATGTTGCAAAAGGACAACGCACACCATTACTGCTGAATTCACCACTCACATGCGTTACAGCCAACTTCAATGCAACGAATACCCTTTTAACCGCCGATGCTCATATTGCAAATAGCGGCACATGTACACCACATCCGCCACTACCACTACAACCACCACAAACACCGGTTGCTGGTGGTCCGGACATGCCCATGCCCTCTTTTGCAGCTGCTATTTGTACAGCAGTCGCCAATGCTACGCCTACTGCTACAACAACTACAGCACAGCAGGCTGGCACGCAAGCCGCGCAACAGCCGATACCGAACGAACACGATTTCGATATTGTTAAACTGATCTCAAATGGCGCCTACGGTGCGGTGTACCTGGTTAAGCATAAGACTACACGCCAACGCTTTGCCATGAAAAAAATTAACAAAAATAATCTCATATTGCGCAATCAGGTAGAGCAAGTGTTTGCCGAACGTGATATACTCTCGTTTGCCGACAATCCATTCGTCGTTAGTATGTACTGTTCGTTTGAAACGAAAAAGCATTTGTGCTTGGTAATGGAGTATGTGGAGGGTGGTGATTGTGCAACACTACTGAAGAATATCGGCCCGCTGCCGCCTGATATGGCGCGATTTTATTTCGCAGAAACAGTATTAGCGGTAGAATATCTGCATAGTTATGGTATTGTGCATCGCGATCTCAAGCCTGATAATTTACTCATAACGGCTTTGGGGCATATAAAACTCACGGACTTCGGTTTATCAAAAATGGGTTTAATGTCATTGGCAACAAATTTATATGAAGGCTACATCGACTCGGAGACTAGGCAGTTTTCCGACAAGCAAGTGCGTGCTGTATAAAACATGAAGTATTTAAAAATTTGTATTTTATATAACAATTCCATTTCAGGTTTATGGCACGCCAGAGTACATAGCGCCGGAGGTGATATTACGTCAGGGTTATGGCAAACCGGTCGATTGGTGGTCAATGGGTATTATATTGTATGAATTTCTTATCGGATGCGTGCCATTTTTTGGCGAGACAGCCGAAGAACTCTTTGCACACACTGTAAATGATGATATTGAGTGGCCCGATAGTGATGATTGGGATGTGCAGCCAGAGGCAAAGGATTTAATAACACAATTGTTGCAACAAAATCCGCGTGAACGCTTGGGCACCCAAGGTGGCGCTTTGGAAGTGAAGGAGCACATTTATTTCTTGGGTTTAGATTGGAATTCATTGTTGCGTCAAAAGGCTGAATTTGTGCCACAATTGTCCTCCGAGGATGATACGAGTTATTTCGATAGTGAGTTGATATCATTTGAGAATTTTAGTACAATTTTATTTGTATTTACCCGTCTCTTAGCACGTATGGATCGTTACAATCACGATTTGGCTGGTGAGGACACTGACGACACGGACGACACACCAGTTTTTGGCTCATTCTCTTCGCTAACACCACAATATCGTAAGCAACACTACTCATGGTCGCGTGTACCCTCGACCAGTTCGAGCGCTACAATGACACCTACTACAGCAAGTGCAGCAATAAATTCGGCAACACCTACGTCTGCCACAACAGGCAATTCAACGGAACCAGCTGAAGCTAAAACTGTTGGCAGCATTGTAACTACAGCAAGCAACACTTCGATTGTCGATAGCTCAACCACAGTAGATTCGTCTTTGGCATTGGTTAAATGTAAAAATAACTCTGCCCTCTCGCCAAGCATGAGCAGCGATTTTATAGCGAATAAACTGTTGACCACTCCACATTTGCGCAAACTTGACGTAAGTGTAGACTTCAGTCGCTACAATGAGCTGGTAATATTAACAACTTTGATTTTTCTCCCTCCGCTACTTTAGCTTACAACCGGCTGTCTCAAAGTGCCATCAACGCCCGATGCCGAATATTTGCCAGAATTGTTGCACAACATCACAATCGGCAATGACAACGAAATGCGTTTGCTCAATCAATTTCTACGTCAGTCCTCCATTTCGAGCCCTTCAGCTTCTCCTGCTAGCAGCGCAGGCAGTGGCACAGCCTCTTTGCAACAACGTGAACGTCAACCGCAACGCCACAGCATGCCTCCCTCGACAACAGCCATAATTACCACACCTGCTACTCCACCAGCAACAATTGTTAGCGCCGCTGCCGCACAAGCCGCTGCAGCTGCCGCAGAATCTCAAGGCCCTATGCCGCACTCGACATCCTCGGCTTTAGTTAAGGTACCACCACATCCTCCACCTTCATTAATTCCCGCAGTTGCGGCGGCAACATCGCGTAGCACACCAGAATCCTCAACCGCCACTGATAGTGACGATTTCTCACCGCAGATTCATCGCAAACGTAAAGGTGTATGTGCACGTGACATATTGCCACGTTTCTCCATATCTATTGAGGACGAAACGGTGAGTGGTGGCTCATCGTCGGCGGAGAACACACGCGAACAATCGCCACTTGCGTTGCAACATCATCACAAATCAATGGATGGTCATTTGGGCAAACATCGTTCGCGTTCGATTGTCAAGTCTGCATCGGCGCTGGGTTTATCGTTGATGTCCAGCGCTGTGGATAACCAGCAGCTGGCACAGCAGTTGTGCGGTATTGCGGCTGGCATACAATCACCTGGCTCAGGCGCCGGTGGTGGCGGTGGTGGTAATGGCGGTTCTAGTACAGCTAGCTCACGCGATACTTCGCCTTGCCGGGATCTTTCACCGTTAGTTACTAACTTGAAGCCACCGATAATTATAAGACGAGGTCCACGTGGTTTTGGTTTTACCGTGCATACAATTCGTGTTTATTATGGCGATACAGATTTCTATACAATGCATCATCTCGTGATGGCCGTGGAGGAAGGTAGTCCCGCTTTCGAGGCTGGTCTGCGGCCTGCCGATTTGATTACACACGTTAATGGCGAATTGGTGCAAGGGCTCTATCATACACAAGTCCTGCAGTTGCTGTTGAGTGGTGGTGAGCATGTGAATTTGCGTGCCACGCCTTTGGAACATACAAGCATACAGAGTGGCGGTCGTAAGCGTGATTTAATGCAAAGTAAGTTGGCCAAGAAGGGTGTGAATAGGCAGAAAAAGCAAACGAAAAAGGAGCACGACAAGAAACGCAAAACTTCACTATTTCGGCGGATTAGTAACAAACGCGCGTCGGCAGAGATACAACAGGTGAGAGGGATAGTGTTTAAACAAAATGTATATTCTAATTTAAATTAAGTTGCACGTAGAGCTGAGTATTCAGCGGGGAAGCCTCAATTTTTGTTATGCTTAGGTCAATTTATTAGAGTTCTTCCGGTTCCGTCATGTGCTGAATACAAAGAAATGCGCTTGTAAAACAAATTTCGTAGTAGGACTATTTTGAAACTAAGAGCCTAAATGTAGGCAATGTTTTTTGCACATAAAACCAAATAAAGAAATGCAATATAATTTTCGGAAATGCACTTTTGAGTTCTTTTTTTTTTTTTTTTGAAATTCTGTTTAACAAACTTTGTTCTTATTTTAGATCGCAGCTGGCATAGCTGGTTCTCCGACCAATCCCGCAGTTGCATCGGTTGTCAGCGGCTCTTGTGGCTCCGCCGCCTCTAGCAATGTAAACGCTCGCAATCTATCGCCAATGGATTCATCTTATCATAGCAGCAGCTGCTGTCAATCAGCCGGTAATTCTTCGCAATCTACTTCGCCATCATCATCAGCGCCAAATACACCCACTTGCGGCAGTGGCAACCAAACACAGCCCTCGCTTGTTAGTACTTCAACAAAAGCAGCAGGTTTAACAATTTCAACCAGCGGCGCAGGTGTTATGCTGCCGCATGGCGCCACCAGTTCTGCTGCCATTTTACCCACAGGTGCCGTGGGTGGTAATATACCAGGTAATATTGACTTGTAGAGGAAATTTATTGAAAGCAAAATAATTCTTTCCAATTTGTCTACTCTAGTATCACCCACATCGGTGCCACAACTTTATCAACGCCCATCAACTTTGCATGGCCTGAAGCATAAATTGCATACAGCCGCATGTGGCGCAAATAATGCTGTTGTCGTTTGTCCCACAGGTGGTAGCGGTGTTGGTGTGGTTAAATCGCTACACACAAGCGCAAGCGGCGCTTTACCACCAAATCGACGCAAATCGGTTGGACATATACCCTTGTCGCCACTAGCACGCACACCTTCACCTTCACCGCTACCAGCATCACCGACACGTTCACCCTCACCGCTAGCTTTTCCCATTGTTGGCCATCAGCCGGGTGCCTCGAATACAACACAATCCTATAGCCCAGGCAGTTCGCTGCCCGCTGTGCAAACTATAGCGAGTGGTTCGAAAAAGAGCGGTTTTGTGCGCACGAAAAGCGGTGAGCCCAGTTCGCCGTTGCTACGACGCGCGCTCTCGCCCGATCGTCTGCATCCACGTAGTGCAGAAGCGAAATGCACGCTAATATCACCACTCTGCTGTTCGCCACCAATTAAACAAACACAACAACGTGTTATCGGTGGTGTTTGGCGTCCTACAACCGGCTCTGGAGCAACTGTTGGTGCCAGCAGTGGTGCTGCTGCTGTTGGTGGCGTAGTTGGTAATACGGCAGCTAATGCAGTAACTACGCTGCCACCTATAAATGCCATGCAACAAGGTTTTACATGTATTGGTGGTGGTTCCGCCGGTGTTATTAATAACAGTAATGCTAATGGCGCTGCAGCGGCAGCAACTACTGGTGTGAATATAGATACAACATCTGAATCTCAAATATCTGGCGCTGGTTTGTTGAATATAGTTGAACAAGCTGGCGCAGCGGTTAGTACACCAACAAATATTGCTTTGCCTGCACCTGGTGAGATGTTGCCGCGCATTGCCGAGGAAAAAGATTCGCCTACCAGTACACACGAATCGGAGGAGGAGTTGACACCATTAGTCCCAACTACGCTCACCAATGTAGCTAGTACCTCTGCGTTGGGCGTTTTAAGTGTAATGCAAACAATTGATGAGCATGGCGATGAGTTGTCAGGTGGCGGCAGTGAAGCCGCGAGTATAGCTACGGCAAAAAGGCAGCACGATACTGGCAGTGCAGTGCACGATTACCAAAAGAAAAATGAAAAGAATGGTAATTATAAATACAAATCTTTCCATGCTATAATATTTAAATTGCATCAATTTTTTGTTGCCCTTTTTTTTTAGTTGACGAAAAGTATGCAACATCTACTGCTACGCCTAAAGTCTGTGCCGATACGAATATGCGTACCAGCAGCAACACTTCGACAACGAGCAGTCGCAAGGAGTACACGACAGCTACTAAATCGACAACAACAACAACCATTGCTGCTTCTGCCAAGCAGAAGTAGTAATTTTTTTTTTTTTTTAGAAAAAGGCAATTATTGTTGGTGAGCAGGCGAATATAAAAAGAAAAAAATACAAAAGCAAAAGTCGCTGAGACTAAAACGAGTATTTTATTATATTTGAATTATTTTCTATTCTATCTATTTTGTATAGTGCAAAAATTTGTTTCTGCTTAATACGATTTCCCTTTGAGGGGAAGTAAGTTTTGTGCAAACGTTAAAAGTTGAATGTTAATTATTGATGTAAGCAATTAAGCAGCTTGAGGTGTGAGTGAGCACACGCATGAAAATGACGGCGATCAACGTGGCGGTTTGGGGGTGGGGAGAAGTTGCGAAGCTAATGAATTTTGTTAAATGACCGACAAGACTTGTTGTGGGTGTAAAATTTTGTAAAATTTGCATTAAGCAAATAAGAAATTTCACACGACTTTTTTTTCATTTCATTTAACATTATTTAACGCTAAAGTTATACCAATCTATGCGTCGTGTGTTTGTGTACAAGAGGGTGTGCTGCGACATGTACTATACTATTATATTATTTTTATTTGTTAACTAATTGATGTGGTGGCACATATGGCTGTCGTACGAACGTTCAACGCCCATTCGAAGCGATTTGCTATTTTTATTACTATTATATTATTATTATTATTATTATTATTATTATTATTAGTCGTAGTAGTTGTAGTATTTAGTAATGTAAATTAAAAATATAAACAAAAAATTATAATTACCATAAAATACATTACAAACAAAATATGCGATATAATTATAAAATTACAGTAAAAAATTTCAAAAATAAAGAAATTATATTATAAAGAGCGCAGATATTGGAAACATGAGAACAGATAATCTCTCTAACATTCGAAAAGAATACGAAATACACTTATTTTTAAAAAAAAGTATATGAAAAAGTAATATTTTTGCCATAAATAATCTACAAAACAAATACGAGTTGCTTGAATAAAAAAGTTACAAAATTTTAAAACAACTATATATGTATTTAAAATACCTTTTTTGGTTGGTAGTTACACTAAAAGACGGTAAAAAAATATGGAAAATTTTGGTGTATAAAAAAAATATTTCATAAACTTTAAGCTTAAGCTTGAAATGATTGCCTAACGTTTTATTATTAAAAGTTGATTTAAAAAAATTCCTTGAGTTGCCATTTAATTAATAATAAAGACGTATATAAAATAAAAAAACGTAAATTCTAAAGTGCTACTTTTAGTCGAATTGGAAAAATATTTATTAATGAAAATTTTCGAATGTGTGTTCGAAATAAGCAGATGTATATTCAATGCATATATACTATATATAAACATATATACAAATAGTTTCAAGTTCATTGAAAAATGCATTGAATTGGTAATAATATTCGAATATCATTAGCATTTCGTAAAAGCAAAATTTTTTAACATTGTTTTGGTTAGTATTGGCTTTTTTCATAATTGCTAAACGTCCAGACATTCGGAACGCTGTTGAAAATTTTTTATTACTGCAAACCTTTGAAAATTTTTTATTACTATAAACCTTTGAAAATTTTTGCTGGCATCATTCCTTTATTAGAATATTTGAAAAAATTAGAAAAAGTTCTGGTTACAGTTTTTTATAAAAAAAAAAAATAAGAAAGATATTTTTTTAAATTAATTTAATTATTAGAAAAATTATTAAAATATGACACTAATTTGTCCCCGTTATATAAGGAAAACACAAAAGAGCTTCAAAGGCAGATGAACAATTTATGAAATTGTGCAATAAACTACTAAAATATGCAATTTAACCACCAAAATAAAAATACCTTAAATAAAAAAAAAAAACAAAATAAAATAAAAAACAAGGCAATTGATGTAGATTTTTTGATGCAAATACCTATATAAACTAACGAAATATATACATGCGAGTACATATTTAGCAATAAATATGCAAAAATTACACAAAAAGCAATGTAATATACATACATATTTACTAATTGAAAACGAAGCGCAGTGCGCTAAACAATAGTAAACACAAAAATACATAAAATAAAATACAACAAAAAATACGCATAACAGTTTATTGGAAAATTTAAATAAAAATTTCAATTTTAAAGAACATATATTTAAATAATTCAACGGTTATTGGCTTAAATTATGCTTAAATAAATGTGTGCGCCGTAAAATATGCTGCAAATGTGCAGAAAAAAAGCAATAAACACGTACATACGTAAAGCTTAAATTTATAAAATACAGCGAAAGCTTTTTTTTAGTTGTTTGCCACATTCACTTGATACATACATATATGCATTAGCAGTTGCTTAAATTTTTATTAAAACGTAAGTCTATAAGTTTGTTTAGATTGTTTCGTAAAATAGAATTAAAATAAATATTTACATACACCTATACATAAATACTTAAACGCTGGTTTAAATGCATATATCAACAACTGAAATGAAAAAGAGCGTAACTAACTTTTTGTTTTATTGAAAAAATTTAAAAAAAAAAAAACCATACAGAATATTTTTAAACGATTTCTCAGTATGCTTATGCACGTAAGTGTATGTGGAGCTTTTATAATACCGATATTTACCATAATAAAAATAAAATTTAGTTATCGCCTTTCGCACTTTAGCTGAAGTAATGCAAGTCTGTGAATAAAAAAGAACAAAAACAACACTATACATATAACAGCGCAGAAATATTCATCGAATGGACACAACTGATATTTATGAAATTTTCTCCCAATCTATTATTATTGAAATTTCAGCATAGACCATAATCACTATGTGCAAAATAATATGTTAGGTTATCTTGGCTATAAGGTAAAGATTTTTCAAAAAAATAAATACCATAACCTTTCTTTATGAGTGCACTATTCAGAGTTATATAGTAAAAAAAAAGTTTTCCGTCGATGCACATTTAATGAAGGTTCGAAGGACCAACGACTTCCAGTGAAACGAAATACTGAAAGTTGGAAGTTTTAGCGTGCGAGTAGATACTCTAAGAATTTGCTCTTCGGCAAGCATTACAAGGTGAGCTGCTGTTTGGTAATTCCCACGGCTAACGTAAGACTTTTAGGTTTTTCAAACATAACCTCAAAGTAGTATATAAAGTAATTAACCAATTGCCGGCGCTCTATCAGCGTGTAGGAGGGGACAAAGGAAACATGAAAAATACTAGCGATGCTTTCCGTGAATTATTAACGTTTTTCGAAGATTCATACCAAAAAATATCAAATTTGCTTGTGGTAAATTCTGATATGGAAAATCATTAACAAGTATATATATGTGCATGTTTAAAATTGACTAATATATATGTAGTTGATTGGGAATATGCAAATAAATGAGCATAAAAAGAAGCTTTAAACTAAGTGATGAGATTGATTATATGTATGTAGTGAGCTAATGAAGAAGTTCATAAATATGTATAATGAAATGGTACATGAGAAAGAAACACATCACATACCACATAAATAAAACTACACATACATATGTATGTTGTTATACATATGTACATATATGCAGTATATGCTTTCGATGATGAAAATATCATTACCTTGAATATACTACAACACATGCATATACATATGTATAACAAATATTTATTTTTTCTGTATATGAAGTGCAATCTACTTATTATTATATGTATGTATGTATGTACGTATTAACTGTGAATTATTTTATATTTATAAATGTAACGTATGTATTTTTTAGAATCTCTTTACTGAATTCTGGATTCAATAAAATGCTACCGTATAAAACGTGTTAAAAAACAATGATCTGCTATGATTTTTAGTTTTTTGCACCAACTAATATGTTCATAAATGACTTGGTCATAGTTTAAGCTTTCCAGCATACCCCGCCGCCTTCATGTGGCCCAACCCGGCCTTTCCTTTTCATTGAAAACATGTCGTTTCGTAAAAGTGGTGAGCTCATGGCTAGTCCATGGAGATAATGAAGCTAGCTGACCATATCTCAATTAAAGCCAGATCATCCTGTTCGTCCTTTAATCTTGATAGGATTCATAATAATACCGCTCTTCATGAATTTTCATCATTTATTTAGTTCAAAAAATTTGCTTATGCCATTTGTTATCTCATAAAATATTATTTTGACATGGAATGAGTCTCCTTCAAACCTGCTATTCATTCACAATAAACAATTTACAGATTTGAAATCACAAATTTGAAGCAAAAAAAAAACAACTTTTGTGAATCCATCGTAATTTCGATTTTCGTAGATGTCACGAAAGTAGGATTCTTGAATCCGACTAGGCTACCACGTAAATTCAAAACATATTCTAAGAAATAGTAGGCTTAAAACTTACATCCTAATAAAATAAATTCAGCACTGGCTGCAAACTACGATCGAATTAAGAATGCTGGCTGAAATATTGAGAACGGTGAAACTTCACTTTTAAAGCTAGTTCTTTATTAATTTTATTAAGTAAACTACGAGGCCTTGTTGTTTGTATGAATTGAATATTTGTTATACAACAAAAAAAAAAATGGTAGAAGTGACAGTTGTTTCGGAGATCACCACATCTCCTCTTTAGACTTCTTATGGCAGGTATCGAACCAACGAATCCTGACTTAACAGGCGAGTGTTCTACCACTGCGACAACATCAGCCATATAATCTGTTGTTGTATTATTCAATTCATTATTAACCAACAACTATTAAGTGCGCTAATTCTTTCTTTTTTTTATACTGGGATCTGCAGAAGCCTTGCTAGTCTAAGAATAATAAGCGACTTTCGACCGAGCTTCTACTTAAATTTTTGATATGAATTTTTTTCTTGTTAATGTTTTTTTAAGAAATGGAGGGACCTACAGTTTATTCTAAATCGCCTGCGAACAGCCGATGGAATAGCTTTTATTACGTGTCAAAAATACACTCGGAAGGCTTAACATTCCCTGCCGAGTGTTAACAGTAAAGAGAAAAAATAATTTTAGATGTTGGTCGAATCCTGACCCTCCGAGGTCGCACTTAGCCTCTTTTAAAGGTTAATTAGGCTTTGTCAAGACTTTCTGAAACCTCATTGGTTTGAAAGTTGGTTAGACACACTTCAGGAAAAGAGTGAAGCTTGATGGCAAGTTTTATGTGAGTATAATAATCTAGGAAATTACGTTTGTGGGTTAGGTGATCAGTTTGGTGTCTGTTAATGGAAAAGTTTTGCCAGTCGAAATCTTCACGAAATACATTACAATTCCCGTTTATGCTAAAAGCTGGTAGAGATTTTGAAAATTCTCGAATAATTTCCCCACTCTGGACTTATTTGCTTGAAGCTTCGAAATATCCTCAATTTATTAATAAATATTTAAAAAAAATGTTCGATTTTTTTATTGTGACTAACTTTCGCTTTTCAAAACACATTTGATGCATTGGATTTAAATTGGGAATTAGTTCTAAGAACCACCTCAGGTTTTCGATCTTTAAGCTGAAATGTACGAAAATTAGGCGCTATAATCTGAGAAGCTCTTATCAAGCACATTTTCAATTGATTTTAATATAAATATGATATTATTTCAACAAGAAAAGATGAAAAATGAACGCTGAAAAAATGTAGCATGCTTTTAGGCCAACTCCATGTATTTCGAACAAAAGTGACTTTGAATTCAAACTGAGTGTTTCGAAAAGCTTTCTTGGTTTCCGACGACTGAATGTTTTTATGAACAATATTTCTTTACAATTTTTTTTTAACTTAATAATTTTTGAAACTGCACGGTATACTATAGGGTTAAATATGTTGAAAACTTTTATTGATTGTATAATTTTTTTGGTAAAGAAAAAATTACGGCAATTTCAATTCAATTTTGACGAAATTGGTTGTGAAAATAAATTAAAATTTTTTGTCAATCATATTTTATTTGTTATATTTTATTGGAAGCCGTCAATTGGTGAAAATTTGTCGAAATTTTTTATATATAATAATATTTGTTTATTTGTTAAAATTCCTTGAAAATCGAAGAGAAAAAATACGAAAAAATAAATTAGTCTTACAAGTTGATGGGATTTCGTTATCAGGATCTGAAAGAAAGGGGTAAGGATATGCATGCCATCTAATTCATGCTGCCTGTGCATACTATATACAAGCTTTTCCAGGGGATAGCATCGAACTAGAGCGCAGGGAAAGCTTCACAACCGAACGCAGTCACAACGGTTATATAAAACGGAAAAAGACTATAGTACGTGAACGATTTCCCCATCCGCATGCAAAGGAGGGAAGTAAACACAAACAACACTCGAAACGTAGTGCCGTGCAAGTAACAAATAGGCCGGCAGCCGAGTCGGCCCACACCACCACTGAAACATACGTACCCTCAGCGGGTAGCGGTGCATTGGTAACAACTTGTCGTGACAAATCACATCTGGAACGTGCAGTTAATCGTACCTCGGTGCAATTGAAACGTCTAGCACACGAAATCGATAATGAAATTGCCAAGTTGAAAAGGGAAAGGGACAAACTGATGTTTAGACCACGTCCGCATCCACTGACGCGTAACGCTGCAATACAAAACGATCTGAACGTAAATGACGAACCTATAAACAAATTGAAAGATTTCAATCATATTGTAGATAATATTGAATTTACAATTGAAAAATTTTCAAGTCGTCATAAATTCGTATGCGCTTCACCGCGTTACGCGCGCGACGAACAAACTTCGTGTCGGCCGCGTATGCGCACAATCGGCTTGCAAAAGAATACACAGCGTAGCACAGTCGAAGACGGAAATATAGAAAGTCTCAAAGCGAAACTTGGCACTGCACTACACTACTCGGCCACCAATCTGGCCAATTTAAAATCGAAAGGGTTGCTCGACAGCGTGCCGCCTAACTGTTATGCTTTCGACTACGGTGGCACAGGTGATGGCCAAAATGCTTTGAATGTCTACCACTTACAGAAGGGCCGTTGCGCTGGCGGTTGTAATCAAAACGATTGTAATTGTCAGAAAATTTGTGAGCACTACAATAGTGTTGGTAATTACAATGGTATGTTGTGCAATAAGAATACGTATGTCGAGAAGGGTTTAACGCCATGTAATGAGTATAAATACTGCCGAGACGAGTATCACTACAACTATCCGCAGCAGAGTAATTGTGTTGTGCCCACCACAAATCAGCCGTGTATGCCTTATTCGGCATGTGTGCCAACATGTCCACCATGTCAGCCGTGTATACCCTGGTCGCCACCCTGTCCAACATATGCCGAGTGCCAGCCAGACAAACCCAAAATAAAAGTTCTTTACGGTCGGCGTGCGACCGATCTAAATACAGAAGATTTTTTCCAACCTACTGGCTCATCACCCAAAAAGCATTCAGCTTCCAAACATGGCAGTACAAGACACTCAAGGAACAAGGAGCGTTTGACGGTAGATGTGCCGAAAGATGGACGCACATCTGTAGAGATTGAGCGGAGTGGTGACCGTGCACATAGTAAAACGCGAAGGAAGAAGGAGAACGAAGACAAATTGAGGCAACGAAACTCTACGCGTCCGCGTGGCGTTGCCGCCGATAAAGCAAATGAAAAGAGGCAGTCACGTGAGCGGAAGGCAGGTGATGCAAGTGCGTCATCAGGTAGCGATAACTCGACAGAAAAAAGACGCCAAATGAAGAGCAAAGAGAAGCTGCTTGAAATAACGTTTACAAAAGAACGACGCCATAGGCCCTCGTCAGAATCGGGAGATGAAGGTGTGCCGTATGTGACGCAAAAACCTGAGCGTGAATATTCACGCGAGACCAAGCGTTCTATGAAGCAAATGACAATTACTGCATATAAGCCTTGTAGGCCGGAAGATAGTGAAGGTAAGCCTGATGTCGACCGGAAAAAGCAGAAGAGACGAAAAAGCATAGATCGTGTTGGAAATGATCAATCGGATGATGATAAAACGTGGGATGAACGTTTAAGACAAACAGAATATCCGCGAGAACAGGTTGATTGGCAGACGGGTGTTCCCACTATTACCGAAGTTTATGATGAATATCGTGTAGGTGATGCCTGGGAGGATGAAGAAGATGCCGGAACTAAGCAAATGACACGTAGACAATACTTGGGTTCATATAGAGAGCTTTACCATGTGCCACCACAAAGCAATTATGACATTATGCCCGTACAAAGAAATACAGTACGCGATATACCACCAACATCGACCAGAAGTCCGGAACGTGGTCAACGTACAAGAAGCCCGGTGGGGCAGGGTGATAGAACTCGTGGTTTTTCTCAAAGGGAACGAGCTGAAAACGACATTGGCTTCAATGCACAGCCCAGAACTGGTCGATGGCAGAATGATAAGCCCTCTAGACCATATGAAAGACCAGATAGTAATATTGTTCCAGAAGGACAAGCCAGAACACGACGAGATATTCCGCATAGTAAGCAACCAGATGCATTTAGAGCGCATGCACTTGAAGAAAGGCCAAGATTGGATGACAGATATGGGCCTGCGGGAAAACCACCTTCAGACCGGCGATCTGCCCGCGATTATAGTCGAAATGTACAACCAAGGCAATATGGACACACTGAATTCGCCACTCGACCTCATGAAAGTTATGATCATACACAAACTGGGGTATACAGTCCTAATCAAAAACCTAGATCAGGAGAAAAATATGACTCGCATGGCTCACCGTATAAAGTAGCTGTGCCTAGTACAGCTTCCAGACAAGGAACAACTTTATCTCCGGATAGGACACCACCGTATACATATGATTATGCGCCAAATGTTGATAACAAAAGAGAAGAAATATATGAGCCTTTGGGTCCATCTTATAAAGCAGCCGACCCCGGTAGTGCGACCACAACTGGTAAGACTCATTCACCGGACAGAACTTCTCAGTCTGCACTTGAATATGCGCAAGATGTAAAACCTAGATTAGAAGAGCTATATGACGTCTATAGTCCAACACATGCAAACGGTAAACCCACTGAGCCTTCTACACCTAGAAGAACCTATTCACCTGATGAAACTGCGCGAACTGCACGTGACTCGGAGTCAGACTTGAAACCTACATCGGTGGAAAAATATGGTATTTACAGTCCATCACGTGCAGCCAATAAGCCCAGTGCCCCGTCTACACCGAAGAGAACTTATTCACCAGATAGGATAGCGCGTACTGAACGTGATTACGATTCAGAAGTAAAGCCTGCAACAGGAGAAAAGTATGGTGCTTATAGTCTATCACACGGAGCCGTTAATCCCAGTGCCGCGTCTACACCGAGTAGAACTCATTCACCTCATTCACCAACTACACGTACTCCACGTTACTACGCGCCAGAAGTAGTGCCTGGATCAGTTGAAAAATATGACAATAATAGTACATCACGCGAAGTCGTTGAAAGCAGCGCAGTATCTGTACCAGATAGAACTTTTTCTCCCCATGAAACACCAGGCGCTGCACGTGGTTATACTTCTGAGGACAAGCATAAATCAGGAGAAAGGTATACTCCTTCAGATGCTAAACCTAGTTCAAAGTCTAAACCAGAGGAAACACCCGATGAACCAAGTGGTGTCTCAACAGATGGTAGACCGTTACCGCCTAAAGACGCACACCGTTTTAAGCGTGAATATACTGGCAATAAAACATATGACATACAGACAACTGATGAACCAAAAGCTTTGCACGAAACGGATAGAAATGCTCCTTCCCACATACCAACATCTTTAGCGCGCGAGGATGAAAAAAGACAGATACAAACACCTGATCGAGAAAGAGTTCCCAAATATGAGGTTGAGAATAGTGGCGAAAACGTTCGAAAGGATTACCAACAAGCAAGCGAAAGAGAGATCGCAGTTATTCCATATGAGAGAACAGGTGTTTCGGCTGCAGACACTAGTAAAAAGATGGATGTAGAGAAAATAGAACGCAAATATGCAGATGACACAAGTTATAGAGGGGAAGAGAGACAAGACAGGACTCCTGACTACGCACCAGCAACGTATGGGAGGCAATCATCACCAATTCTCAAAACAATTGCCATCGATACCAGTAGAACTGCTACCAGCTTGCCAACTGATTATTCACGTGGTGGTGAAAGCCCAGACTCGCAAAACGCACGTACTGGAAGTAAACAAAAATTTAAAAGCGCACCAGAAGTACCCGAAATTCAAATTGAAGATACTGACGAAAGTGGTAGAAGTGCTCCGAGTGAAAGGCGTAACTTACTTTAAACTGTGTTATTGAAAATAATCTGATATGCTATTATTATTTTCAGGGGAAATTCCTATGGTTGGTTTGCCAGAACGAGCCAAATTCGCGATTAAAGGAGAAATGGTTCTGGAACCAGAACAATTGGGATCACCGAAGTACAAAATTAGTTCACAATACGAAAGTAATATTGAGGACATTGGTAAAATACGAGAAACAGACAAGAAAAATGAAGCAGGTGCTAGAACTAGAAAGACTGAGGGGGATAGAACTCATGTTGACACCGCGAAAGCTGATAACTATGGTGGAACTCACCTTGCCAGCTCAGGTGGCAGAGCCACTTCTCCACTTAGCCCCTTTCCTAGCCTTGAAACCCCCAAGATTTATATGCGACCACGACAACCATGCACGGATTATGGAACTGCCTGTTTGCCTCCAATTGAAAATGATTGTCCTAAAAAGAACAGCTCAAGACAAAACTGTGTTAAGAATGCTGGTGACCTTTATATGTGCCAATCACAGTGCGACTCTACACCACAGACGGTGTGTAAGGGTTTGTGTCAAAGACCAAGTGGCAGTAAAGTACCATATGAGAAACTTGGCGATCAATACACGCATTCACCGGTGCGACAATTAGCTGCCAACTCCCGTTTAGCTGTAGCTTTGCAACCCGAAGCTGCTACAGGTAATTTCATACCATCACCACAACAAAGTTTATGCAAGAGCTGCACATGCTTTCGCACGACCGGAACACAATATTCGGCGACGATTCTTGAGCAAAGAGAGGATAATTGTGCCACACAATGTGTACCACTACCAAAAGTTTGTAGTGAAACACCAATAGACGAAGCGGAAAGATCTCCACCACCGTCTGCGCGTCTATGTGATTCGCCAAATTTTCAACCGGCTTCTTCAACACCTCAATTCGCTAAAGGAAATTACGAGTTTCTATGTGAGGAAGATAATGAAGAGTACGAGGGAAAAGTGAATTTAAATCAAGACCAGTGGTGTGGTCGGGTTGAAATCACAAATATGGAGAAAACACAGATTTTTATAGCTCAAAAACAAGGGGAACAAATGCAAAAATCATCTTTCAAAGGAAAAGATGATAAAAGCATTTTCCTACCCTGGCAACAGGAACAAAAATTTATACCTGGTCAGCCGTTAGGCAGTTGCAATATGTCCTCTTGGCAAGATTTACCAAATGGTGCTTTACTAACAAAACAAAGGCGATTTCAAAACTCAATCGAACGTCGAACGCCACGTTTTAATGCAACTATGCCGCCACATCAGGAAATGCCCGAAGAGGAAGAGAGATGTGAAGAAGAAATACTACATTACAAGCCACAGCCTCGTGTAAAATTTATGGAGCAGCAAGCGCAACAATACCGAGATTGCGCACCTTCACCTTATACACTGAATGAAGGTAATTACAATTAAAATTTTTTCTACAATCCAAATTAAATAATTATTTTTTACACTTTATAGAATCGAATTTCGAGGATTCAAGGGGTATGTACAATTTTCTTTACTTTGACTTCAAGAAAACATTTAGTAAATGCTTAAAAAGTTTAAACTTAGCTTTATGATTCGGGGTCCATATTGTTTTTATGTACAATTTTCTAAGAAGATAGAAAAGTTTGAAAGTGTCAGTGAGGACTATACGCAGGGCAAAACATTAGAAGTTGAGACCCTGTCTATTTATATCAAAGTAGGAGTACTTAAAATGTCTTTTTACATCTTTTAGACGTATATTTTCTTTTGTAGTTTCTTAATATCGACATCTTTCTATAATTTTTATTCCACCTTTGATTGTTTCATACAATTAAAATTATAAGAATAGTTTCCTATTATATTTTATACTTATAAAAAACATTCTTACCTTTAATGTTCTTTATTTTTCTACTTCACACAGGCCGTTCTAGCTTCATTTGCAGCGAAGATTACCAACAAATACCAGAATTCACTGGTTGTCCATGCATGTTTAAAACTTATTTAAATATGGTAACACTGTACTATCCAGAGTGTCGGATACAAATAACTGAAGACTGCAACGAATTTGGTGTTAATGATGAATTCAATGAATGATCTTCGAATAAATCGAAATTTTAAATATTCCTATGTACTAATGTACTTCTTTTATGTATGTATGAATTATATATCCGAGAGTAATTTTGTAATTTTCTTAGAGTGTGCAAATAATTTGCTCAGTTCTTGTGCACGTTCACTTTATTTTCAATTTCTTGTACTAAAAAATTTGCAAAAACAAAGAAAAACGCAATAGATTTTATAAAAATGAAATATTTAAGAGTAAAAAAAAATTAAATGTATTTAAATTTAAAATAGTTAAAGAAAGAAGCTTTTACTTTTGCTGGCTGTAAAACAAGCGCGCTGTGCTTACAACGTCTGCGATGGATAGCGCGGACTTTGATCACGTGAACGCGCTTGACGAAAGCGATCATCGGTGAGATTATGACGTAGCTCTTGATTCTGTATTTGATATTCCTGCGCTAAAGTTTCCGTTTGATGACGACGTTGACGTTCGGTATCCAATTGGTGCTGTGTATTAAAAAAAAAGTATATAATATTTATATAAATAAAGCATATTATGAGAGCGTTTTTAGATTCGCGTAGTGGTATTTTTCTTTTTCAACAGGTAAAAGTCACCTGCCGGGTCTGAGGACTATGATTTTTTTTTTACTTCGAATCACACTTTATGCATGTCAGCGAACATAATGTACACCTTTTATCAATTTTCTCCGTCTTATCCGTTTAATGGTTTCTTTCAGCCTAAACCTAAGTTTTGTCTCCAATAAAAATTCGACTTGAACCATCATTGTCTTAATTGCGAGTGAGTTTCCCAGCTTATTGTGATATCTTAAACTTCTTGTGAGTTGCTGTGCCCGTTTTATGTCAATGCAAGGTGTTTTGTTCCGACTATGGTTCATAACTATCAACCTTAGTGTCGTCTCTAATAACAATTCGAACATTCGAACCGTCCTTGTCTTCATTGCAGAGTCTCACAAATGCGCGTACACACTCTTATGCGTTGTTTTTGCGGAGGCTTGAACATTCACGGCAAGTCATAATTCTCATGCATATTTTTAAAAATGGATACTGCAACCATTTCTACGAGTTTCTTCTTCGTCGAGAACAATTTTTCCAACATTTTGGATAAGTTCTGGCGTGGTCACCACGATACTCCAGACCGTCCTCAGGTCGTCTGCAAAGGATTCAAGGTCTTTCCCGGACAAATGACGCCAGAAACCAATGACATTTCAATCCTTGGTGTCGTCGTCGGATATTACATTTTTTCCATATTTCACTTTTCACTCCCGATTATGTTGTTTGGTGGTCGATAACTCAAAGACTAATTGGCTAATAACATTGTATTCATACAAATTATGAGACTGCTAACACGCTACGATTCTAATAAGTCTAATTATCTACCTACAACATTTTCATTCCGCGAGCATAAAAAGGCTCTCGCGTATCTCATTTAACACTTACCAACAAATCGTCATTTTGCTGCCGTAAACGCACTAATTCCTGACTCAACTTACTATCAACTTTAATTTGTTCTTCAAGATCACGACGTGTTTTAGTTAATAGTTCCTCAAGCGTTTCAGAGGAGACTTTTTGTCCACTAGTAGATTTTTCCATATCCGTGCGTAGCTTCTCATTATCATGTTCAAGCTAACGGTTAAGAAAACCGTAAAAAAATAAAAGTTTGTAACCTTTGTTTGAAGGAATTACCTTGCGTTTTATCTCATTTAGTTCGGTTAACTCGGCATTTAATTTATCTTTCTCGTTGTCTAGCTTATCGCAGAGCTCCTTACGTGCTGCCAAATCCACCTTCAGTAAGCGTTGTTCGTCTATAGCTTCTTCAAGTTGACGTTCTAATTTAGTGTTTTGTGCGTTTGCCGCGCTCAGCTGTTCAGAAGGTAAAAGAAAGTTTAAATATTTTCTACGCAGACATGCACTTACTGTATTACCTTGTCCTCCAGTTGTTCAATGTGGCCATTGCGACAGCAAATTTCCTTCTTCAGCGCTTTGATTTCATCTTCTAATTCGGTAATTTGTCGTCTTCAATGGAAATGGAGGTTAATGGCAGTGAATACAATTTTTATATGATTTTTTTGTTAAATTTTTTTTTTATTTCTGTAACCATGGCATGACATTTCTACATTACATGTACGAGTGTGCGTAGATCAAGATAAAAACAAATAACTACATACAGATTAGAAGAGAGATACATATATTCAAATACCGTTTTGCAGCAAATACAAAAAAGAAACACAGAAAAAAATTTAACTTAAATGCCGCGTACAGCAACAACAACATCTACAATAGTCAAGCACGTACATTTGTATAACAAATTGGGAAAGAAGAGGAAGTAAAAAAGAAATTTCATATTATTATAGTCAATTAGTTACATGTTAAGTTAGTAGAAAGAGAATAAATAGATAATAAAAAAAATATAAAGAATTAGAAATTACTTGTGTTCCGCCGCTTCAACTTCTAAACTCTGATTGTTGCCCTCCAATATGACGGCGTCATGCGAAAGACTTCGATAATGTTCGAGCATCTCTTCACGTTCCTTTTCCTAAACCAAAAAAGTGAAAAATGAATGTATTTAAAATTAAATTAAATTAAATACAACATATATTTATAACGAACCTTATGCAATAGCAAATCCTCCGCTTTTTTCACCTCCGCTACATATTGACGTAGTTGTTGCTTCAATTGTTCGATTTCAAATTCGGAATCTTTCAATTTTTTCTTAAGCATTAAAATCTCCGCTTGACGCTCGGCTAGTTCGTTTGAAAGACGCCTGAAATATTTCATAACAAAAAGAGACAGAGAAAATCACGTTAACACGCTCTGATATTGGGACAATACATATTGAGCTAATACATACATATATAATATAAGAAGTTAAATAACAATATGCGACCAGGAAAAAATTATGATTTTTTTTTTACATAAACAATTCATCCTTGTTTTTCGTTAATTGTTGGTAAATTTGTTTTTAACGCTTGTAAGGTGCCAACGCTGTTCGACTTACCCATTTTCCGCAATGGCTTCGTCTCGACTGATTTTCAATGCAGCGATTTGTTGACGTAAAGTTTTACTTTCCGTTGAGGTTTCATGCAATTCGGCAGTACGTTCACGTGTTTTTGTATTTAACTGACTGAAAATAAAGAAGTTTCGGTTATGCGGTTTGAAAAGCGCCAACCATATATATATATACGAGCATATACTACAATATATCGATCTCCAACCGCCAAAGAAAGCATCAAAAAGTATATTTTTTAGAAGTCATGTCTTTGTTCTCACAAAATATAGTAAATAATTCAGTTGAGTGGGGTTGAGTTGCTGCGGCAGTTATTCATTACCAGCACACGTAGGCCAATAGAGCCGTTGTGATATCGCTGTGAGGCTTTTATTTACACCTTCTCAAAGGTTAAGTGTTTCCCCGAGGAACTTGTGTCGCACAGATATCAAGACTGGATAGTGACAGATGTAGTGTTCAATAGACTCGTCCTCTTCTGTTTCCCTACAGCCGCGGCAATAATCATTAGTGTGATACCCCACTTTTCGCGTCGGTTTGTTAATGAAGAATCGGTCTAAAGGGATAAGATGATTTGACTTTTTCGCGTCTAAGCGTCAGTCATCTTGAGTCTACTTCTTTGGCAAATACCACTTTGAGCATCGTGTGCATGTTTAATTGTGGATAGAAGGATTTCTTCCCTCGCTAGTTCAGCTGCCATACAATTACCTGGGATATCACTGTGCCCAGGTACCCAGACCACAGCAGTGTTACATATAGTGATGAGTTTGTTCGGTTTGCTTGACTGTCGGAATATATCGTAACCGATTGTCCTACTGACCGTAGATTTAAGCAACCACTCGGCGGCTTCCATGATTGCAAACAGTACAAACGTATATTTTGTTATATCAATATTATTCAATATATATGTACTATTATATATAATTAATGGACAAAAGATTTAAGAAACGAACTCGCTTCCACGTTATGAGCTGGATTAGATTTTCGATCTCCGTTAGCTATCAAATGCAAATTCATTTTAGGGGCGATCAATTCTTTTAAAAATTTCGTTGAGTGTACAATTGCCAGTCTTAGAGGATTTCGAATTTTCGATGTTATAGCGAAGTGTGAGGACTGACGGAAATTGAAAATATTCTTCATTTTTTTAAATACAGTGTTTCGACACAAATTTGTAATAATTTAATCAATAAATGAAAAGCTGGTATCACGAAAAAATAAATTTCCGCTTAGATTTGGATGGCGAAAAAATGGCGAAGAGAGGTAGGGAGCGTTTCAATTGACTTATATGCCTCTGGCTGTTGTTATTAAGGCTTTGACTTCTAGTAAATTTTCGGAACACAATTCTTTCGCGCTATTTTCAGAACATATATTTTAACTCCTTCCTCCATTTGAATTTATTTTATTAGCAGAAATTTGTATAAATTTGTATGCTCTTTTTCCTTGTCAAGAACGTCCCGCTTATTCCTCTTCAACTATCGGTATTGTTCCCACATTATTCGCATTACGATCGATTGTAACATTGTAAGATAGGCCGCTTTTTTCTCTCCAACGCGGCATGTCATTCTTTGGACATCGCTAAAAACTAATTCTTTCTTTGACGGTGATCTGCCCAAAATTTAAAATATTCTCTCTTTCGATAGAATCGAATCTTCCAAGTGTTTATTAAAGCGCGTTTCTGCAAGAGATTCGATGTTAGGACCTCAGAGAGTAGGCACATCTAAAACACTACAGAGATTTCTTCTGTCTACCATAACATTATCGAATTGGTTGCTTGTCTTTCGATCCGGAGATAGGATTTTTTACGCTGAAATTTGGAAAGATCTTAGTCCCGACGAAGTCGATCTGTCACTAGATCAATGGTGATGCGCCGAATACAGCTTTCTTGCTCACGTTGCCTTGAAATTACTAAATGGGATTTTGTTTTCAAGGCGAAGAGTTCGTAAGTGCGTTCTACGCGGTCTTAGAGAACGTCGCATAGTCCTTCGGGCCTTTCGTGTCTTACTCCCAACCGGAAACCTTCAACAAATTTGAGCTCCTTTATATGGCGACTGTAAAAAGACTCACAGGAATATATCCTCTTTCTTTCTATCAACCGGCTGGACATTTGAGACCAGACATTTCAGGTCCTTAGATCGTTTGTCGTGGTCTCAAGGTTTTTTGTTAATTTTTTACAAACTAAAAAATTATATTGTGAACAGCCGACTTGAGTGAAATTCGTATCAAAATTTATCATTAACCTCAGAAAATTCCTTATTAAAAGTGCTTTTTAATGTCTTAATACTGTTACATCACTTTGAGTATAATATTTCCTAATATTGGCGTCAGTTATTTCAAGTTGCTGCGCCTTTTGTCACGATCAGACAAATTTTTATATGTACATATGTATGTACGTATTAGTCGCTTATGACTTACAAGTATTTGATGGTAACAGCAGCAGCAGCAGCATTATTTTGTGGGTGCGGTGCAATTTTCGTGCACTACTTAAATGTTAGAAATGCAATAAAAAAAAAGAAAAAAAAATGATAAAAATAAAAAATGATAAAAAAAATTCGGCATATTTTTCCGCTACTTCACTCCACCCCTTAACTCACAGTCACATAGTAGTAGTAATTTTTTTAACAAATTCATCTAATGGCACAATTGAAATTTGACTCTCTCACACATAACTTTTGCTGTGCTAAATTACCGTTACCTTTTAGCTGAACTTCCTGTAAATGCTTTAAGTTTTATTGTGTATTTTGGAGTTTTATTTTTTAATTTTTTTAATTCAACATGACTGCATTGTTTCTGTTGTTAAGTGCCGTACATTATGACTTTTACTCTCATTTATGATTGTGGTATAATGTCATAATTTTAATGTTGTTATGGCACGTTGGGATTTATGGTTGAGTTCATTTAGTTACAATAAAATCATTGATTGACACATTAGATAGTTGAAATTGTTATTTGCATATCACGTGGTAGTCGTAAAGCATTTGCCATTGTAAATTTTTTTTATAAATTTTATGAAATTTTTGCTTTAAAATTATGAATTTTCAAAAAAAAAGTAAATGCATTTAATTTACTTCTGCCTAATTTTCATGCTGTTAACTTGAAAAAAAGGCAGAGTTTTATTTAAGATACTAAACAAAATAGACACATTTTTTGTAATTTTCTATTTAATTTATAGGCTTTCAAGGCAGTTGAGAAAAAATATTTGAGAAAAATTAATTTTGACTATATTTTTAATATTTTATTTTGTTTTTACCTTTATTAGAGTTCAGCAACATTTTCATACATGAATTGATAAATTTATAATTCCCCAAATACACCAAAGTTCAATATCAAGGCTAAAGCAGGCCATATTTGGGGTAAAGAAACTGTAAATCCAAATTATTAATAACAAAAAATGCTACACAAAGTACTATTTATCGACAAGTGTAGGCTTTACGTAGCGAAAAAAAAGAAAAAATATGCTAATTACATTCCAATTGGGATTTTTGCGCTTACTACGTACCGATTGGCTTTAAGACCAATCAACACGCATTTACCCATACTTGTCATGCGTGCATTCGTTGCCGTTACAAAAAAATGATAGAGAATAAAGCTAAGTGATCTAATGCACGCGAATTATGTATGAAAGGCTTTGGTTCGAGACTTTTTATTGAACAAAAAAAAATATGTTTAATGGCCAGATAAATATAAATTTTATTCCATTTTGTTTGATTATTATTATTTTTTTATTTCATTATGTATATTATTATAATTTTTTCATATATTTTTATTTCTTTTAATTTTATTTTACTTAATAAAGTTTGATTAGAAACATAATTATTATTATAATTTATTTCATATATTTTTAAATTAAAAAAAAAAATAAAAATATATGAAATAAATTATAATAATATACATAATGAAATAAGAAAATAATAACAATCAAAAAAAAAATGGAATAAAATTTAAATTCATCTATCTTTATTATTATTATTATCTATTTTTATTTTTTTTTTATTTTTTACTTAATTCCAGTTATTGTCTTTTCATTTTATAATATTTACCTTTTTACTCATTTGGTATATCTGATTTATTTAGTTTAATTTAATTCAACTTAACTTATTTTAATTTTATTTTATTTTAATTTATTTTTATTTTATTATACTATTATTTTTTTTTAAATAAAATGGTCTTGTTTTATTTAATTTTTTTTATTTTATTTTATTTTTTTTAATTTTTTTCTTGATTTATTTCAATATATTTAAATTTTTTCTTATTATTTAATTTAATTTCGTTTCAACTTTTGTATTTTATTGTATTTTTTGTTATTAATTTGTTTTTAATTTAATTTTTTTATTTTTTTTTTGCTAATTTTTTTCATTTCTTTTTTGTTTCCGTTTTTTGCTTAATTTTATTTTACACCACTTTGAATTTCATTTCATTTAATGCATATATATATATATATATATATATATTACGTTTTATATTTGCTTTTTGCTTTTGTATTGTATTTTCTTTGAATTAAATAAAAAAAATATTTTATTTTGTTCCATTTGATCTCATTTTGCTTTATTTTATTTGACCTGTAAATATGATAAATTTAACAAAAACTTGGCCCAAACCTGCCAATCGTTAGATTCTTTCATTAAATGTATTAAAAAAATTAAAATAATAAACAAAATTAATTTTTAGCGCTCAATTTCCATTGCAGGCATTCATTGACGTATAAAAACCATCGAGGAATTTGTGGTACATAATCAACATCAATTTTTTTTTTATTATTGGCTACATACATATATGCACATACTCATTTTTATTGACATTTAAATTTATTGTAATATTATTTCTCTACTGCTATACATATTTACAATTTAGTAGCAAACCGCGTACGGGGGAATGCATATGACTTTTATGCCTTGAATTATGTCAAAGACATGATTAACCATTTTTAGTTTAGAGCTTACATGCTTTTTTTTGTTATTTTATTATTTTACGATTGAAATTCGTACCTTTGTTATGAGTGCAATGCACGAGCACTTACACCTTTTATAACCTTTACATTTTGTGGTAGGTTTTATTGTCTCTTTTTCCTTTTTTACGCTTACCAATGTGAATGGCAGGTTAATTTTGAAACCGGAACACAGCTGTTAAACTTCTGTTATACATTGTAATTAATTTAATTTCCTATGTTGATTTTAACAAATTTTAAAGTTCAACTACGTGAATAAATATTTTATGCAATTACTCTGTGAATTTTCTACACTTGTATGTACATATATTATATTAAATATATTGCAGTTAGATAATAGAAATAAAATCTCTTTGACCCTCAACATGGATAATATTAGGTTGTCAAATATCTCTTTTTTGTCTTTTGAATTTCGCGGCTATGTACAAAGCGCTACAGAGCTCATATCTGGCAACACTATACATAATTTGAAAGGCCTTGACATAACCTACAAAAGAACGCTATGCGTGTAAACATGGAGTTCACTAACGCCGAAATTCGCGCTATTTTAAAGTTTTCCTTCGTTAAAGGCAAATCCGCTAGAGAAACGTTCCGTGAGATTAATGGTGTTTTGGGGGATGGTACTCTATCACTTCGAACCGCGGAGGAATGGTTTCGACGATTCAGAGCCGGTGAAAACGACACCATGGATAAGCCAGCCGGCGGAAGACCTGTGACGACAAATACCGATCAAATCATGGAATACATCGAGTTAGACCGGCATATGGCATCTCGTGACATCGCCCAGGAGATGGGAGTTAGTCACCAAACCATTTTGAACCATCTGCAGAAGGCTGGATACAAAAAAAAGTTTGATGTTTGGGTGCCGCATAATTTGACGCAAAAAAACCTTCTGGACCGAATCAACGCCTGCGATATGCTGCTGAAACGGAACGAACTCGACCCATTCTTGAAGCGGATGGTGACTGGCGACGAAAAATGGATCACATACGACAATATCAAGCGAAAACGGTCGTGGTCGAAGGCCGGTGAATCGTCCCAAACAGTGGCCAAGCCGGGATTGACGGCCAGGAAGGTTTTGCTGTGTGTTTGGTGGGATTGGAAGGGAATCATCCACTATGAGCTGCTCCCATATGGCCAGACGCTTAATTCTACCATCTACTGCGAACAACTGGACCGCTTGAAGCAGGCGATCGACCAGAAGCGTCCAGAATTGGCCAACAGGAAGGGTGTAGTGTTCCACCAGGACAACGCCAGACCACACACTTCGTTGATGACTCGTCAGAAGCTACGGGAGCTCGGATGGGAGGTTTTATCGCATCCACCATATAGCCCGGACGTAGCGCCAAGTGATTACCACCTGTTCCTGTCCATGGCGAATGCCCTTGGTGGTGTGAAGTTGAACTCAAAAGAGGCTTGTGAAAAGTGGCTGTCCGAATTCTTCGCAAATAAGGAGGGGGGCTTCTACGAGGAAGGTATTATGAAGTTGCCGTCTAGATGGAAATAGATCATCGAACAAAACGGCACATATTTTAACTAAATCCGATCACTGTAACACTTTTTATAAAGCATTTAATGAAGAGCAAAAAAGCGGAAGGGAGATATTTGACAACCTTAAATTTCGTAAAATAAATTTAATTTTCATTTAAAACATCTCAAATGAACAAGGTCACACTCTAAACCGAAAATACCAGCACATTCAAGGACAATATGAGTTAATGCATTTACCTTTTAATTAAGCGGAAAATATCTTAAAAGCGGCAGCAAGAAAAGGTCAACCTGTGATTATGGCAGTAAGCGATGCTACAGTGACAAACGTGTTTGCAATCAGAAAAAGCATAAGTGCCTAAAAGTGTAATATTTATATGTAGGTGTTAAAGGGTGTAATTGAATTTTAATTTTAAAGCTATTTTATTTTAGTTTAGTTATACTGAATAATTTATTTATTTTAATTTTTTTTATTTAATTTAATTTAGTTCGTTTAACATGTTTTATTTCCTTTCACAATATTCTCGATTTTCATTATATTATATTTCATAAATGTTATTTTTTAAATTTCCTATTTTTTCTATTTGCCTTTATTTATTTATTTTTTTAATGTCTTATTTAATTTTATTTCTTTTCCATTTTTTTACTTTGTCTTATTTTATTTCATATTATTGTATTTTATATTATTTTGTTTTATATTGTTTATTTTATTTTATTATTACAGCTTTTTTATTTTGTTATTTATTATTTTTGTATATTTTACATTTTTTTACTCTTTGTGTTTTTTAAATTTTAATTGATTAATTTTATTTAGTTTTACTGTATTTGAAGTTTTATTTTATTTTTACACATCATTTTCATATTCATATTTAATTTAATCTTATTTAGTTTAATTTTATTTTTTGTATGATATTTTTTTTCGTTTTATTTTACTTTTTTATTAAATTAGATTTAATTAAATTTTATATTACTTTATTTCCTTTATTTTTTCCATTTTATTTTATTTGATTTTATTTATTCTTCTCCTTTTCTATTCTTTTTATTTTTAATTTAATTCCATAGTTTTACTTTACTTTATTTATTTTTATTTTATTTTCCATTTTATTTTATTTGATTTTATTTATTCTTCTTCTTTTCTATTCTTTTTATTTTTTATTTAATTCCATAGTTTTATTTTATTTTATTTATTTGTTTATTTTTTATTTTATTTTTTCATTATTATTTGATTTTATTTATTCTTCTCCTTTTCTATTCATTTTAATTTTAATTTTATTTTCATTTTCTATTTTTTTATATTATTGTATATATATTTTATTTATGTTTTTTTTTTCAATTTACGTTTCAGTATGTTATATATATGTACACGTAGGTATATATTATATACTACACAAGCAGGCACACGTCTGAATAAGCCACTCGTTCATTCATTCATATCGTCAGCATGCCAACCAGTCAGTCAGACTTTATACAAATATCAATACAAGTACTATGCAAATTGTCTATTTATTTAATTTTAGTATAAGAACCATGGAAGTTGGTTTGCTAGTTAAATGAAAGGTCGCATATTGTCGATATGCCAAACACGTTCCCCAATGCCAAAACAAAAAATAAACGCACTTAGCTACAGAATATCGCATACACACAACACATATACACAACATACATATTTTCGAATATGTATACATATGCACGTATATATTTACGAAAAAGTAGGTATGTCCGTAAAACGCTATGAGTCAAGGGGATATCTGGCAGCAACTCCAAGGCAACGTACATTCAAAGTCAATAAAATGCAAATACAATGCCAATATTCGAGTTCTACATACAAGACGTCGAACAGCATTGCTTTTGTGGTAGAACAACACTTTGCCGAAGGTAAAAGCTTTCTTTTCATTAACTGAGTCTCATAATGGGAAGGCACTTTTAATTTTAATATTCTTTTTGTGTTTTTTTTTTTGCTTTCTGCAAAATATGTGTATGTACTCACTCATATATGTATATGGTAATGTCCAAGAATTTTTATTTAAACACATTTATTTATGCAAATGTGCTAATTACGAAAGCAAATAAAAACTTCAATGGTATGAGGGGAAAATGAAGAACTTTTTACTGCACAAGTGTGGGTGCGCTTATTATTCTTTGTTCTATATTCTTTTAGGGATTTCAAAGGCAAATACAAGGGTCACATACCTCAAACTTGGGGCAGCAAAAAAGCAAATCTCGAAAAAATTTTGAAGTACTTAACTTAGTAGAAACAAGGAAGACGCTATAACTCTCCTTCATTTCATATTTTTTATTTTATTTTTATTCTTTTTTATGTTGAATTCCATTTTAATTAATCTCATTTTATTATAATTAATTTAATTTGAATTATTATTTAATTTTAGTTTTACTTAAATTAATCTTAATTAAATAATTTTCTTTTATTTTGTGTGTTTAATTTTAATTTATGCTGTTTTGTTTCCTATTATTATTTAATTTTTTTATTATATTCTGTTTTATTTTTCTTATTTCAATTTATTTTATTTATTATATTTTATTTTATTTTGTTTTATTTTATTATGTTATATTATATTTTATTATATTTTATTTTATTTTNTTTTCTTTAATTTTATTTTGTTTTATCTTTTGTATACTATTCTGCAAAGGAATCTAATAAATTGTTTCCAAGTCCATCCATCAGCAAAGCTGGTACGTTGATGGATGCATCTTCTGCTACTGTAGCCGATGTGTTCGCATAAAACTCCGTATCGTTTCGGTATAAAGTCCCGAATAAAATGGGTACTTTCGGCTTTTAGTCACCTCTTACGATAAGTACGCCTTAACGTGGGTTAGTTTTTGAACCATAAATAGGGTTGGATGAGTAAATTTTAGTTGACATGCAAAAAGGTGGTTGGAACGAATGGGGGATATTCATTATTTTGATTATCTTCATCTGATAAGGCAGGAGGTTATGTGACATTTAGCAGAGGAGTGAAGTGTTGAAAAATTCTCTTTAAGCAGGTTCCTGCAAGGATGATCGCTCGAAGGGTTTCACAGTCTATCTTAGCAAAACAGACTTTTAACAAAATCCCTTTTGATTATCTCCATTAACGTCAAAATCAAAGAAGGAAGTAAAATGCAAGTAAATTTGTTTGCTCATAAAATAATCAAACAATAAAAAAACTCCGCGTGCAGAACAGGTAATTAAAATTAAAACAATAAAAAAGAAACATAAACATTACCATAACAACAAATATTAGCCAAATTGTTGACAAGCAAACAACAACTACTGAGCTACAAGAGTACACTTGACGCGAGTAATTTGTAGCGAGTAAACAAAACTTACTGTCTTCACTTGAGCAGAGCTTGGTGCAAGAAATTCTGAGTGGAATGGAGTAAATAGAAAAATGTAAATTCGAAGTTACAACTGAGAAAATAAGAAAAATAAAATAAAATAAAGAAATATTTAAAAAAGATAACCGACATATTTACGCCTTCATACTTGTAGTATGTCTTCTTTGTGCATGAAATGCTCACAGCTGATTGAAATTGAATTGAGTGAGACCCGTCAGCGGTCTGCGTTTAAATGAGAGCACAACTGAGTGTAGTTTTCAGCGCCGGTTGTGTCTGGTGCTGCACACCATTGGCCAACAGATTGAAAACGTCGTTGGTGACTTACGGTGGCTTGTGGCGCGACTTGCGGTTCAAAAATCGTCGAAAATTTTGTTTGCAAGCAAGCAAAGTGATTCAATTCGGCGGGTGAGCAATTTAATAAATGTTTAGTGCAACAATCAATTGACAACAAAGAGCAACGCGAATGGTGGTAGCCTGAATGCCAAATAAATATAAATTGAATTTATTGTGCGCGTGAGATATTGAATAATGTAATAATTGCTAATTGGCAAGATATCAAATTGAAATTATGAATTTTTACCAACTCATCAAGAGCATTGTTAGAGGATTACAAGCAAAAAATATCTCTTTTATACAAAATCTTTGCAATAAATCGACTTTATTGCAAGAGTAAGAGTGTTTCAAATTAGTCCACGTCTCGTAAGGTGGCCTTCAAAAGTGTGGCAAATTAATATGTATGTTATTTGTGCAAGTGTTGAAAAAAATAAACGTATAAAATCTAAAAACTGCAACGAATTATAATACGCTAACGCCTATTTTCGAATTCAACTTAGTTTGGATTTACAGGGAGAAACGAGTTATTAACCTTGAAGAGGTTCAATCGCGATTCGTTCAATTTTTTGCTTTTTTCGTATTCAAATTCAAAGCAGTTTACCAGTTGAAGAAGGAAATTAAAGAAGAAAGAAATGACAACAAATAGCGTGAAAAAATATTTAGTATCAGTGGTGAAGAATTGAGCTTAGAAATTTGTAAATTAAAGTATTTGATATAAAAGGCGATTATGAAGCAAATAAATTTAAAAAAATTGTATGCAAAAATAAAATTCAGTAGAAAGTAAAATAAGAAAATTTAAATGAAAAAAAGCAATAAAAATAAAATAATAAAAAATAAACAAATTAATTAAATTAGAACAAAATTAATCTAAAAATGTCAATAAAGAGAAAAAGCTGTGTGTTAAAATGCAAAAAATTAAGCTGAAATAAATTTTTTATTTTATTTAAATCTTTATTATATTTGATATCAGCTTAATATATTTCAATTTCACTGAAATTTTTTTTCTATTTATTGATATTTTTAGATTAATTATATTACAATTTATTTTATTTTATTAACTTTAAATTTAATAAAAAATAAAAAATTAAGTGAGTGAGAAAAAAAATTAAATTAAATTAAAATAAAATAAAATAAAATAAAATAAAATAAAATAAAATAAAATAAAATAAAGTAAAATAAAGTAAAATAAAATAAAATGAAATAAATTAAAATAAAATAAGATAACACGAAATAAAATCAAACAAAATTAAATTAAATTAAAATACATTAAAAAATATAAAACACAAATAAATTTAAAGAAAACTAAAATAAAAACAATAAATATATTTAAATATATAAATAAAATGAAATATAAAAATAGTTAACGAAATTAAATATAACCAAATAAAAACGAAATGATGGGAATGAGAAACAATTTATTCAACCAAAGTAGAAAATAAAATAAAATTTGTAAACAAAATAAACTTAGATTGAAAAAAATTTAGTTAATATAAGAAAAAAAATAAAAAAACAGCCAACATTGAAATAAATGAAATAAAAATAAATTTAATTATGTACAGAAAAAATAAAACAAACCAAAATAAGAAAAATATAAAAAAATTAAATTAAATAATATACGACACAATAAAAAAACATGAAATAAAATAAAAAATGAATATTAGAAAATTTAATTAAAAAAGAAAATTAAATATTATATAAAACATAAACAAGAAAAAAAATTAACATAAATCCAAATTAAATAAAATTAAATTAAATAAAGTTATAAATTAATTAAATTAAATTAAATCAAATAATATACAACGCAACAAAATAAGTAATATAAAATAAATGTATAAATATGTAAATAAAGCAAAATAACAAATTAAGAATAAAGCTAAAATTTCAGATTCCAAAATCGATACAAGCTACTAATCCCTTAGAAAGGAGCTCCAAGTGCAGTACAAACACTGGTGTCTAAAAAAATATATACCGAAAATTTTCTTAAATAAATAAATGTATGCACTTTAATGTAAAGAATTTATTGAATAAATGATCAAACTGAGAAGAAGAAACCACAAGCAAAACCAATAAACAAAAAAAAAAACAAAAAAAAAATATAAAAAACCCAAACTAAAGACGACCAACGAAGCAAATGTAAGACTGAAATAAAAATTCCAAACTTTGAAAAAGAAGAAAAACGCCCAAAACAAGCTAAATTCAAGGCCAATAAGTGGTGCTTTGCTGCTACAGACGCTGCTGGTTAATTAGGTTGCTGCTCCGCTGTCGCTGCTGCTTCGCCGTTCACACTCTTGCCTCTCTGCTGCTGCCCATTATATTATTCTTAACTTCATCTTCTTTTTCTACCTTCTTTCAGCTACCTGTAGTCAGTCAAGCAGTCATTTGATTTGCTGCTTCATACAACAAAGTTTATTAAATGATTGCCTAGAGGAATTAGCTTTCAGCTTGTAGACTGGCAGCGAGTTGAATAACCGTTTGATGCAGGTGTGTGTGGTTTAGCGACGTGCGGTATTGTGTTGTGTGATAGCATTAAATCTTATAGATATATTTATGTATGTACCAAGATACAAGTATTGTTCCATAAAAATATCTACAAAGTGACATAGTGCGAAAGAAAAACTTCAGGAATGTGCGCTCCCGTAAGTGTGGAGCCGCGAAAGTGCTAAAACAGCTTCATTTTTATAGAAAAGTAAATGAAATGCTTACACTTCGTGTTGAAAAGTGAAATTTCAACGAAATCAGGAATTACAAAACGTCGAAAAAAAATTTTGCCATTGCCAATTAAAGTAACAAAGGTAATTTGCGTGAAATATTTCATCAAATCGTTATGATTTGTTATATAAATTAATTAAAATTCAATTTTGAATGAAATTAGTTAAGTTTGAATGAATGATATTCGATTTTAATTGGGTAATTGTTGGTATTTCAAATATATTTCCTTTTTTAAAAACGTGTTGAGAATTGCATGCTATGTGAAAATGCATAAAATGGAAGTCAAAAGCAATGCACATATTTATTATTTCATCCAACAACAAATTGGAACAAAAAATATAGATCTCCTTGGTGTTTAATTTCAAACCGCTGAAACAATTTTCGGTCAAGCTTTTGATCCAATTTGTGGTGTGTGCATCTTGATATTTTATCAACAAATTTATTATAATCCGCCTTCGAATGACCGATTGATTTTTAAAAATAGCTCTGATTTTCATGCCAGAAATACACTCGGAAAGCTTGACATTCTCTGTCGCAGGGTGTTGGCAATCAGAAAAATTAATCTTCTATAATTTTGGACGTTGGTCAGACGACGACTCGAGCTCTGGCTTTCCGAATGGTAGTACGCAATGATAACCATTCGGTTATTGCGGCAGTCAACAACCTACACCGTAGAAGTGACGGTAAGTCTGGCTCCTTGGATACTTCCAATGTGTCGAGAGTCCAGTTCATCAATAACTTCGTGTCTTTGCTGTTTGGATCTTTGAAATGGATAATTGCATCTTGACTGATGAGGCCCATCTTATGGCTACGTCAATAAGCAAAACTGTCGCATATGGGGCTCGGAAACCCCAAGATTTACTGTAGAAAAGTGTCTCCATACTCATTGGTTGACTGTTACTATGATTGTACTGCGCTATCGAGAGATCATTAATAATTTTTTATGGCCGGAACTAGATTGACTTTCAACAAGATGACGCTACGTATCACACAAGCAACGAAACCATCTATCTTTAAGGGAAGAGTTTCCGTACCGTGTCATCTCTCGAAGAGTTGATCGCAATGTGCTACCAAGATCTTGTGATTTAACGCCCTTTGACTTCTTCCTTAGGAGCCACGAGAAAGACAATGACTACGCCGACGAGCCAACATTGATTCGAGACCTCAAAGATGGTTTTCGTGAAGCTATTGAGGGCATATAGCGGCTACTATGCAATTTGATGTTGGAATATTTCAAAAACAGGATACGGCCCTGTAAACGTAATGCCATATTTTCCTTTTTACATTGAAATAAACATCCGATCATTTACAACAAACATCATATTTTTTTTTTGAATATCAAAATAACATCCCTAGGTGGAAAACCCCATATATAGTTTTTTGATTCAGTTGACTTCATGTGATAGTTTACTGTTGAAATTCAGATCTAGAGGTTTACTAAAACCAGTAGACAGACAAGCAATGGCATGGACTCAAAGGCTTGGTACGCAAAATATATCCCCAAATTGATTTTGGAGAATGTTGCGGTAGAGACACTATTTGACTGGATAAAAATGCGAGTCTTCGAGGAATGTATCAGGTGTACAACTTTGCTTCCGCCGTTTTCCGATAGGTGGCTGTACCGGCTGAGGCTGGGTGAAATACGTAGATGATAATGCCTTTAAAGTGAGAGTGAGACAGTGCCTAACGAATTGTCATCGCCGTTTCAGTGACAGTTGTTCTTGTTTTCATCATTATTATTCACGCTCGAAAATGTCCGTTTATGTGGCCAATTCTCGCCATTTGCGGGAAGTTTTACTTCTCTGTTACAATTCGAAAAAAATGCAGCTGAAGCGTATCGAATGCTCTCAGAAACCCACGGTGATGCTGCTCTGAGTGAAAGAACGTGTCAGGAGTGGTTTCAACGAATATTCACGGCGCCAAGGTTATGATTTGTATTTGGTGGGATCAGCGCGGTGTGAATTACCTCGAGCTCTTAAAACCGGGTGAAACCATCACAGGAGATCGCTACCGAACGCAATTGATGCGCCTTAGTCGCGCGCTAAAAGAAAAGCGGCCACAATATCAAGAGCGACAGGACAAAGTCATCCTCCAAGACGGCAATGCTCGGCCTCACGTCGCAAAAGTGGTCAAAAAGTACCTGAAAACGTTGAAATGGGAAGTCTTGCCCCACCCGCCGTATTCCCCAGATGTCGCTCCTTCTGACTTCCACCTATTCCGTTCGATGGCACACGGCCTGGCAGATCAACATTTTCAATCCTTCGAAGAATTGGAAATTGGATTGCTTCATGGATAGCGTCAAAAGAGGACTGCTTTTTTCGAGCCGGGTTCCGAAAATTGCCGGAAAGAAGGGAGAAAGTTGTCGCTAACGAAGGACAATACTTTGAATAATATATCTGTAAGTACTTTTCGCAGTAAAGCTTTTAATTTTTGAAAAAAATCGGCGGAAGCAAAGTTGTACACCGATATAAAGACCTGAATGTTACGAGAACCCTGGGGTTTTCATCCCCTTTTACTAAAGTCACGTTCCGCCGTAGGTAAATTTCTTGACCACCCAGAGACCTTTTCCGCCTCTACTTTGAAGAGGTTTAGTGGTGCTGTAACACTACTTCCGGACAGAGGGGGATTCTCAATTCCTATTTTTGGTAACAAACTCCAGCTTCTCAATGCACAAGCCGTACTAGTGAAACCGAATATGCTTCATCCCGTTCGCCGTTTACATTTGGTAATGTTATCTCATCGATCACTAATAACCACAACATTACGCAAACAGCTCATAAGGCGAACCATGTGGCATTACTAACATACTAAACCAAAAATATCATGCTGATGGCCTACAAATGGCTGCCGCGCGAGGTAACAACAAAAATGCACCTCGCGTTCGTCGCGCCAATCGAATGAAAAAATAATAGTAATGAAATAAGAAATAATTACAAGCAATTTTCACAACTTTTCCAACCTCCTGCTGCAGCAGCAGCAACAACAACAAGTGCAAACCAACATGCGGCGTAATCATGCAGTCAGTTAATGATATATAACAACAACAACAAGCAAAAACAAAATTTAACCAGCAATAAAAATAGTCAACAATCACACAATAACAACAACAAAGTAGTAAATAAATGCCTGACGGGCAAGGGCGGGTGTTCAGCTGCAACAGCAGCAGCAGCAGTAGCGAGAGTGGTCCACGACCGAAACCATATTTCCAACTTTACGAGTATATGCACTCATGCTGCACCGAGCATATGCAGCACAAATGCACTTGAGTAATGGCAGGCGAAAAGCAGTCAAGCGGGCACAACAAATAAACCGTTACAGCGGGTGTCGAACAGCTGTTTGAAACTGGCTGCGGTGTGTTTGGTTGCAAGCTGAGCAATGAGCGCGAGCAAATTACGTCTGCAAATGCCGGTTTTTTGTTTACCAAACACCAATGCACTCGTCGTGATTATTTGTTGTCGTTGTTGTTGTTGTTATGGTTTCAATTTCCTTTAGTCGCGCTGCGCTGCACTATGTTATGCTCTTTAGCTGTTAGCTGTTGCGCGACACATCTGGCTTGACTGCTACCCACTTTCTTGACTAACCCACCTTATTTATTTACAGTTATGTAAGTTTTTCTTGATTTGCCATTTGATTGTATTTGGCTGTGGGATTACGGTTAATGTAACATGACGACATGTGTCTTATGCATTCTTCCTGTCCCAATTAAATTCACATTTTAATTAATGAAGCAATCGATGGCTCTAACAATTGTTATAGGAAATTTCAAAGAAATAAATATTTATTAAGATTAAAACCCGAATTATTGACAAAATTATAATTTATGGTCCTATTCGGCTCCTATCGCTCATTTGTACGTACGCTTCAACGAAAAAGAAGAAGAAAAGAAGAAAAGAAAAAGACAGTCAAAAGCTCCTTCGCATTACTTGGGAACCAGCTCTCAGAGAACACTCATCAACGGGTAAATGTGAAAAGGCATTTAAAGCTCTTTCTAACGACCGCTAGAGGAGACATCAATTGTGCTGGTACAATAGCAATCGTCGTACCGCTGTGAAAAAAATGCTGCCTCTCACTATCGACAGCAACTCGTACAACGTGGGGAGAGATACCGAAAGTTGTAGAAATGAGCAGAGAGGCGCATCTGCAGATAAAAAAAAATTAATAGGAAGACGTAATGTGGGAGTATGAATAGCTTAAGGCCGGATTTCCGGCCGAAACCATAGTTTTGATCTAGAGACAGATGTTCAGAGAATACTGATCTTATAGATAGAACACTTCTACAATCTGGTTAATTGCTGTAGAAATTAAGTATTCCGGTATGACGAGACCGAATATCCAATCGAAAACGTTGGAATAGAAGTTTCATCACTCGTCCATGCTGAAGTTCGTATAACTGAGAAACAACAAAGTGGCGAAAAACGGAACCTAAAAACGTTCTCTCAAATTTACAAGTACCCATATAGATCTATTAGTGAACGAGAGGTAAACGAAATATCTTCTGCCATCGAATAGTCAACACTTCACTGCGATTTGAAGTTTTAGTCAATTCCGTATCACTAGGGAGTCGCTTTTTAGCCTTCGAAACTTACGAAAAATTACTCTTGCCAATAGCCGATACTTACACTGAGTAGGCAAATGAAAGGTAAAATTTTATCTGAACAAATAAAGACCAAACACTACACGTCTCTTTGCTGTATGAAGCATAAGTCGACCTTAGGAGTTTCCGAGAGAACATTTGTGCGGAAGATTCATCGTTTCTCTAATGGACCATGGCGTGTACCATAAATTATTGAATGATAAGCGACTGACTAGTCGTCCGCTGGTGGCAAGTGACGTAGAGAAAAACCTCCGCTACGCTGGAAACATCACCTAACTTGGTGTTTCTAATTGGCGCCGAAGGGCTAAAACAAGAAACGACTGACATTCTATTGTTGACTCAGCTTGAAACGGGTAAGAGGTGCTTACAACAGTAAAGAGAAAAGATTTTTAAAATATATTTTTCGTATATGAAAACCAGCATTAAAGTCAAATATAACTGACGCTTTGTAGCGCTGAAGTCAATTTGGGGCGAGCTTCTCATCAAGTT